CATACTTGGCAAAAGCGAAAACGACTAGTGGACAGTCTGCAAAATCTAAAAAACCTTGGAGATACATGGAACCGATGAATTTTTTAAAAAATACTTTCGACTTAGGAATGAAACCGTAAGTTATGTTATATGTAAAAATATATATGAATTTTTATAATAATTATTAATATTTTTGGTATTTACAGGATTGTGAGTAATTTTAGTAAAGAGAGCGGTGAAGATGCTGGTGGGTCTGACACAGAGGAACTTAATTTTAGTCAAGATGAAACTCAACATATCAGTAAGTGATAAATTAAAAAATTAATATATATTTATGTGTGTATATATATATATATATATATATATATATATATATATATCTCAATTCGCAGACGACATAGGACTATACTCTAGCAACCTAAAATCTCTGAAGAAAGCCTTACACCAAATGAAAATTAATCTTTCAAAAATAGATTTATTTCTCGCTCCCGAAAAAACTATTCTCATTCATTTTACCAATCGAAATATTCAAGCAGGAGAAACTACAATTAAAATCGATAATATCTGCATTAAATCCAGTGAATCTACTAAATTTCTTGGATTAACCTTTGATTACAAACTTTCCTTTAAAACTCAGATAAATAAAATCAGATCGCGTTGTGCCAGGGCATCTAATATAATAAAATATCTGCAAGGAATTTCGTGGGAGGCTGACCCTGTGACGCTACTAACACTTTACACTAGCTATGTAAGACCTATAATAGAATACGGAATTTCCGTATACTACCCAAAGCGTGAGGATCAACAAAAACAATTAGAAAGAATACAATACAACGCTATCGGACTCGCGTTTGGTTATCGCAAAACAACTGCCACGAAAATTCTATTAGCGGAATCTACACTTCCGTCCATTCGTGAAAGAGCTAAATTTCTTTGTAACACTTACTTAGCGAAAGTTTTGTCAAATGAAGGATTGCCTGTTAATAGAATTATCAAAAAATATCACTCACAAAACCGTAAAAGCAAAAGGAAAAGAAAGAGACTGTACGAAACTAGCATTGAGAATGTAATAGAGCTATCTAAAAATACTATAAATAAGCGAAAATATAATTTTTACCTCCATGATTATCAGACTATTATGCAACCGGTTCCTTATAAAAAATTAACTGAATGCAATCGTCATCAACATAAAAACATAGAACAATTATGCAGCAACTTAGACACTCCTAACTCTAGAATTTTCTATACCGATGGCAGTAGGAGCGAGGCGTCTCCTTCTACTGGCTCCGCGTGCGTTAACCATAAAGAAAATATTGTGATTAAAAGAAGCCTGAGTAAAAAAACTTCGGTGTTCTCCGCTGAATGTATTGCAGTGAGAGATGCACTGGATATGGCTGTCAGTGATAATCACGCCTGTAATATTATGTGCGACTCACTCAGTGTACTAGAATGTCTACAAAAACCCTTGTTAAATGTTAAAACTAACCCTTACTTATTTAAGATAAAAGCTAAATATTTTGAGTTTCAAAAAAGCAAGAACGAAAAGGGCGACATTCAAATTTACTGGATCCCCTCACATTCTGCGATACCAGGAAATGATTCTGCGGACGCACAAACGAAACACGCAGCAAGCCGTAGACCGATTGATCTTGACAAATATCCCTTCTCGGATTTGAAGGAACAATTCAAACTCATCATGAAGGCTAATATTAAATCGACACTTTTGTATAGCGACCCTGAAAAAGGAAAAAGATATTTTGAATTCTTTTATAGAGACCGTAATAAACCGTGGTTCCAAAGTAAAAGGCTATCGCGCGAACTCATTGTAACCGTAAATCGACTACGTGCAAATCACTACAACCTGAATGCATCTCTCGCTAGGGTGTCAATAATTGAAGATCCGAGCTGCCCGTGTACCTTTCCTTCGCAAGATATTGATCATATATTGTGGAACTGTCCAATATATTCTGATCAAAGGAAAGAGCTGTACGAGCAACTCTCTAAAATTGGTCTACGTTCTCCACTATGCTCGCGAGCGCTAACACAAGAACCTAACATTGCTGCGTGTTCTCGCATATTAACTTTTCTTGACAAATGCTCTCTGCATATTTAAATTTATTGTATAACTAATGTAAAAATACACCACTCTACAAAACCAATGTAAAGCACCGCAAACTCTTGTAAAATCTCACTGTAAACACATATGACACTCACTGTAAAGCGAATAAATCTGTATATGATTTGAAAGCTTTCAATAAAAAAAAAAAATATATATACATATTACTTTAAAAACATTAAGAGATATGCTAATTAATACTAATAAAACTGAAGTCTGTATTGCTTAGAGTAAACATATAGAGAATTTAAGGAGGTTCTTCAGCTCAGGGCCGAAAAATTTGGGTGCTTCAGATGGGCCTATCATATTTTCACAAATCTTGTACTATAACAGTAGAAAAGTGTCAAACTATATTAGTTATGATGTAATATTCAGGATATAATCATAAAAATCTATGCCGAACACTCAAATAAAAAATAACAAAAAAATTTTAATTTTTGTAAAATTGTAAATGTGGCAACACCGCACTTGCAAATCAAGTGCGGGGCACCACTGCGAGCCCACTACCTACTGCTATTGCGGTAGAAGCTTTGCCGAGTACAAAATAAACAAACCGTTTATATGCCGAATTAATCAAAATGTTTTATAATGTAAGACAGCAAAGAGGGAGATTGAAGGGAAAATTTGTTAAACAAAAAGTGAAAGACCGAGTGGAAAACAGTATCAAAGCCAACGTTGACGCTAAAAAACGGAAAGAAAACAGTGGTAGCAGTGGAGAGCAGTTACAGGTTAGCTTTTCGCCGAAAGCTCGAAGATATGATTCAGTATTTTTATGGTAACTGATTATTCTTAAAAACTATTTTGCAGACTGACGAGGTAGACGCTGGCGACGCAAGCAATGAAAGAAACAACAGAAATTGTGAATTTGAAAGATTGAAAGATATCAAGGTAGTATTTAATGTTTATAAGAAATTCACATGTACAAATATATTTTACATGTTATAAGTTTCAACAATTTGATGAATAAGCGTACATACATGATTATAGGATATTAAAGATGCTGCTGGCAATTGTAAATATGGTGTACAAGGAAGAAGAGTGGTTGACATAGATTTATTGGCTGAAGAGTTGTGGTGTGAAAACTGTAATGTACCTCTGTCAGTGAGATTTTTATTGAATGAAAGAAGAGCAGGACTTGCTAGCATATTCAAAATAAAATGCAGCTCTTGTGATTTCGTTTATCAAGTTAATACAAGTAGAATTAATGACTCAAAACAGTATCATGTTAATATGTTGTTAGCTGTTGGTACGGTATTGTGAATCTGAAATATAATAATTGTATTATGTATTGATTAATTTGCATATTGCCTTTTAAGGTATGTATGATGCAGGGATGGGTGAAACCCATGTAAATACTTTGCTAACTGAATTAGATATGCCACCAGTATCGCCAAGTACATTAAAGTCTTATGAAAGAATTGTAGGCAGTGCAATTGAATCAGTCGCTGACCAAAGCTGCGAAGAAGCATTAGTTGAGGAAATTGCCCTCACCAGTGATGAAAATTCCAAAGAGTATTGATTTTATTTTGATTTCTATTATTATGAAACAGGAGGTTCTCTGTACACTTTACATATTACATATTATATAAATATGTTATATAATATTTATACATTCATAAGTACTTAAAATTTGGTTTCTGGTAAAAAAATTCTAAAATCTTTATGCCTGGGTCTAGGTTTCTCAAATTTTTTAAAATAATTTGTAAAAGCATGAACCTCCTGTTTTAAGTCTATGTGAATTAATTTATTTTTGACGATTTTTAAACAAAAATAAATTGTTTAGTATACTTTTATTTATAAGAAAATACCTAGAAATAATTTGATTAGTTTAAGTAAGTTTATTTTGGAGAGAAAATTACTGTTAAAAAAAAATTCAATACAATCGCTTTACAATAATACAAGTTGTCGTGCTTATTTATTGTGCACATGGAAGTGACTGTGAGCTACTATCTACTGTTTTTGTAACTTTCTGTTTTAGTTCATTTCATCAAGCCATCATTTATTTTTAAACCTTCACTTTTTTATATCATTTCATCAGTCGTATTTTGTTCATACAATTCCATATATTTTATTCTATTCTCATACCATTTTATGTTTATTTAACACAAATCTTTTTTTCCTAATGGAAATGTTTGTGAATGCATATGCGTGTACCGTATGTCTATGTGTGTATGTTTTCAGAATTCAAAATGCCAAAGAACCTTCCTCTAATGAACCCAATTTACCTTCTCCAACATCAAGTTTGCAAAAGAAGCAAGAGCCTGGAACTTCCCCTAAAGAGAATACTACGTCGACTTCGAGTACAAAAACAAGCAAACCAAATTCAAAATGTAGCAAGCATAGATTAATCGGTGGCTTAGACACTGGTTGGCAAAGGCGCGGAACTGGACGTTCATATAACAGCTCGTCTGGTTTGTTGAATATTACGTGATGATGTTTAACAATGATATGATACTTCCCTTTTTACAATCGTATAATTTTCGTTGCATCACTGTAATTTAAAAAAAAATTATCGAGTAACTGGTGTACGAGTTCGTTCTTGTATAAAGTATTTTTCGCGATAATTAAAATTGCAGATGTTTTTAAGCATTTATCATTATTTGATTTATTAATTCTACAATGATATATAGGGTGTATTTATCGACGGTCACTATTTCAAATTCATGAGAAAATTAATATTATTCCAAACCATGATGATCTTTTATTTAGGTATAAATTTTCATTTTTTAATTTTGAGCATCCTATTTTCATAGGTCACACTTCAATGAGAGCGAGACAGTCAGGTAAAATGATAGGCCGAGCTGGACGAACCAAAAAATGTGCCAAATGTGCGCGTGGGCGAAAGCCGACAGATCACGATTGTCGTTTGAATTACAATAAAAGTTCTAAATCGATGGAAGCCGACATGGCTAAAGAACTGATAATCGACAATTCTCTTTTAAACAAATACAATGCGATGATTTCAGTACTCATTATGGATGACGATTCATCGACAACTTGTGCTTTACGTAGAGAAGCAGAAGAATTCATAGAAAAGTGGTTCGATATGAATCACGCGAAGAAAAATTTAACTAAAAAGTTGATTCCATTGAAGATGTCGCAAAAAGTACAAGACTACTTTTCCAACTGTTTCTCTATAGCAATCCAGCAAAACCGAGGTAATGCCGATGGTGTACGAGCAGCTTTATTAAGCATTGTTCCCCACGCGTTTGGAGAACACAATCAGTGTGGTAAATGGTGCAAATATTCTGAACTTGGAGAGAAATACGTACATGTAAATTTACCTCACGGAAAACCATTGGCAGATATTAATTTACGTGTTAAGCTATCTGAAATTTTTAGTAAATTTTCTAATGATGCTCACAAGTTAGCTCCTTGCGGTTCAACACAAGGCAACGAATCTTTCAACAATGTCGTTGCCAGTAAACATCCTAAAAATAGACATTATGCTGGATCTGAATCTTTTTTTGTTCGAGTAGCGGCTGCAGTATGTCAATGGAATCTTGGTACGGTTTACGTTGTACATGTAAATTTGAAATTGGGTCTACCTCCAGGTCATTTTACCATGCAATATCGACAAGCTAAAGATCAGAAACGGAAGCGAAAAGCAGTTGAAGCATCAACTATCCAGAAAAAACGAAAAAGAGTCGAGCTGAAGAGAATAAGATCTAGTAAGGATGCTGGAGCAGAGCGGAAAGAAGGCATTACGTATGAGTCTGATTGTTCCGCTGAAACTTTACCCGAATTGCTTGACAATGAAATGAAAACAAGTAATACTTTATTATTAATTCTCAGTAAAAATAATGCTTGCATTGGAAAATATACGTATTTATTAATTAGCACGTTTCCATTTATAGATAAAGTAGATTATACTACAGCAGTGTTTGTTTATTTTGATTTGGAAACAACCGGACTAAGTAAAAATGCAGAAATTACACAAGTAAAAAAAACGAAAACATGAAAATTGCAATATTATTAATTATGGGAATACTATTCGGTGGTTTTAAAATTAATTTTTAGATAGCTGCTTGCTGCGCAAATGAAAACTTCAATGCTTACATTCTTCCCTCCAGAGGCATATCAAAACGTATCACTGATGTGACAAATCTTCATATTGTCGGCGGTGAAATGTTTTTCGGTGATACATTATTAAAAACCGTTTCACTTCGAGTCGCAATGGAAGATTTTTTATCTTTTTTAGACACACAAGGTGATCAAGTTATCCTTATGGCTCATAATGGTTACAAGTATGTAATTTTTTCAAGGATTGCTAATTGTCAATGTATACACACGACATTACGTATATAAAATAGCATGTATAAACAACGCAGATTTGACTTCCCACTGATGCTGCGCAATCTATCAAGATTAAATTTGCTCGATGAGTTTAAGACTATTGTTACTGGGTTTAGTGATACTCTGAATATTTTTAGAAATATTCTACCAGAACGCAGAAAAGCAAAAAAATCCTTTTCTCAGACAACACTTGCAGTAGAATATCTAGGTCAAGAGAGTGCAGAAGGAGCTCATAATGCTCTTGCAGACGTTGACATTTTACAGAAACTCATCAGCGCCATAAAAATCGATCATCTAACTATTTATAATCACACTCAAAACATAACAGACTTTATACGCAACGAAGCGTTAAAAAACGTTCATACATCAAACAAAATATCTTTGGAATTTTTAAAAAATTGTGTTTCCACCAATATGTTATCGCGAATAGCAAAAGCGGGTATCAACCGTAGTCTAATAATTGACGTTTACAAAACTAAAGGCCCAAAAGGAATAGAGATGCTGCTTAGTGAGGACCTAAGAGGTAGACCTCGAGTGACAAAACATAAAAAAAGTATTGCGATACTGACAAAGGCAATCAGCACTTCATACAATTAACAATGATGGTTCACGATTAAACATTCATAAGTCTAACTTTTTTAAATTAGAAATTTAGACGTGATTTGTATTGTAAAACTCGAATTATTATTAGATATATATTTATACAAAATAAGTTTTCTTTGCTCATGCAAGTCAATTATAATGTGAGTAATTTCATTTATTATTCTATATTTAAATCGTACAGAAAATACCATACAAAATCGTTTGTTTTTTTTCAATGCATACTAGTCTTTAACTGTATTTATTTATTTATTCATTTAAGATCAAAGACGTTCACAGAAAAAAAATTATACCAGATATATGTACATAAGTATAAAAACAAAATGTGTTGAACGTTGAAAGTGCAAAATAAAATTTGTAGCTTGTGAAAGGAAGCTACCTTCATTATTTTATTAAAATAAATATAAATTGTAGGTTATTCATAAGCAATCGTAGGTAGAGAATTTCAATGTTTGAGCATGTCATAAAAGCCATTGCTATAATTGTCTTTTCACACCGTCAGAAAATTTCAAATTTAGAGCATGCGCGTACGAGCATGCGCAGTAGTAGCTACAGCCATCAGTTGGTGCAACGTTGCCAAACTTACATAGTGGAGCTGATTTAACAAAAAATGAATATTTTTTTGTTTGGTTTTCAATTAATATCTTTTCCAAAAGATCGATAAGGTGATAATATTTAAACACAGATCGATAGTTAAATATCTAAGCTTCATCCTGCCTGAAGCTCATGGCTATGGTAGTTCTATCAATGATGTTAATATGCCATTGTTTAGGAATGATGACTGATAAAATGAGTGGATAGGTAATAAAAAATGGTATTTTCTCTTAAAATACTTGATAAACAAAGCTGATTTTTTTTTCTAATATACTCTAAACTTTTGTAATCCAGCGTTGATCAATTTTATTCCGAAAATCTACGTCAAATTGAAGTTAAAAATATTTTCATGAGCTTGGTCTACCCATGATCTTGAAAATTTTTAAATTGGTATAACTTTAAAAAATGACCGATAACAAGACCAAATGTTTTTTTCTACACTCTTATAATCATGTCAGCTACCATATTATTTCAAATTCATTGATGTGTTAGGACTTTCGAGTTTGCTGGAGAACCTCCTTAAGTTGGTTAGAAATAGAGTATTTATTAGATAGTGTGACGTCCGGGTCACTATCTCAGGTACGTCTGAGGCGGACGTTATCTCAGGTGCTCTATTTGGTTTGCGTGCGTACGCCTAAACCGGGACGAGCAATTGGAAAACTAGAGCTTTTCTATTTCGCGTTTCGCGTTAAAAGAGAGAAAAATAAAATTGGACTGCAAGTCTTCCATCAAACACCAGGATCCAATGGAATCGGGACTTGCATGTGAATATCCCAGACCTTGCTGGAATTGTCACATAAAAAGAATTTAATTTTTCTTTAACGGCGCGACTGTCTTATAGAAAAGTATCCCAATCCTTGCTGAAATACTTTTCGAAGACTTGTTTTTTGGGGTTCCGGTCTAGCTATTCTAATAGAAAGGAAGAGGAGAGATAGCAGTAAAAAAAAATTCGTTTAGACTTACTTTTCATTAATTTAATGTAGTTGACTGGTACTTGGAGAGTCTGGACCTGGCACTTGGTCGAACTTCGTAAAATGAGGTAAAACTAATGAGCCTTGCGAGGAGCAAGAGAGTGGACGATTTTCGCTTGCGCACGCCCTTTTAAAGCCTGGGGGTGGTTGAGAGAAAAATCCCTCTTTCAGTCCCTCAAAATTTGGGAAGAGTGGAAATGCCAGTAAATTTTAATTGGCTGACTGAGATTTTCCCTACTTTTCTCTTTCGGTTTTCGGGCCCTAATTGGTTCAGGGGCGTGGTGAGAATTGGGGGCGCGCGTTCAAGAGTATGGGCCCTATCTCGTTAGATGGCTCTCCAAGTACCATTTTCATTACAGATTTTCTTATAATTATTAATTTATTTGTTATGTAAATTGTTACAATTAATTCTTAATAATAACGCAAGTTTCTTAATATCTAACATATTTTACGCGAAAATCTCTAATCCTACATGTTTACAATTAGTAACTTAAATAATTAACTAAATTCGTTGTTTAAATAATATGGAATGAAAAGGGGCATTATTTAATTGTGGACTATATAATTGATTTACTAAAGTTCATTCAGGTAACTGTTTTTCGACTATTTATCTAATTTCCTATCTTATAATTTCAAGACTTTGGGATATTTTCGATGATTGTGCGGTAACTACGTTTCTAATCAAAAAGTGTGCGGGAGGTTTCAAGAAGCTGCGAAATTTTCCTATCATGCTGTTATTTTCTCAATCCATTTGTACAAAAATAATTATTAAATTTTTTCTATATAGCAAAAGTTTTAGCTTCTATAAGTGGAAAACTTTTGGGTGAAATCGTGTAACAGGATCTAGGCAGAATTCCGCGGCTCCTTTACTCTATATCTAAACCTACTCAAAAAAAACTTTACGATCTTTCGGAGTAAAATTCGGAAAGCGCGCGACAAAGGGATGGGTATTTTCACGTGTCCTCCAGCCGCTTCAGCTGAATGCACTCCCTTTGCTCATTCACGGAGTTAAAATTTAAGTTACGTATTGAACACGCAAAAGCAAACGAGAAAAAAAATTAATTTTATTAATAGTAAACGGCCCGACGTTACAATAGTGTCTTTAGAAATAGTGGAATAAAAATAATAATTTGTACGGATAAGTTAGAGTATGTACCCTTAGAACAACGCGACGGAATCTTTTATGAATTCCATAAATTCCCAATTGGAGGACATCGTGGCGTTTCAAAAACCTTTCACCGGATCAAACAAGAATATTATTAGGAAAATCTAAAAGACGATATACAAAGACGAATTCAACAGTATCTAGAATGTCAATTAAAGAAATTAACTCGTTTACAGACCAGACAACCCATGATAATAACTAATACATGTGCTACAGTGTTTGATAAAATTGCTATGGATATTGTAGGCCCTCTAAAAAGAACAATAAAAGAAAATGAATACATTTTAACCTTACAGGATCAATTTAGTAAATTTTGTCTAGCTGTCCCATTACCAGACACCTTATCATCAACAATAGCGGACACATTTGTTAAGAAATTCATTTGTGTTTTTGGATGTCCGAAAGCTGTGATCAAGGCAGAAATTTGTTGAGTTCACTAATGACGCGTATTTCAAAGCGATTCAAAATAAAGAAATTAAAAACCACAGCATTCATGCCTCAGTCCAACGGTTCCCTTGAGAGATCTCATCACGTACTAATTAGGGACTTCAAGCAATACACCGATATTGACAACGATTGGGATGATTGGCTCGACCTAGCTATCCTAAACTACAATACCTGTGTACAAGAAAGTACCAAACATACGCCGTATGAAGTTGAATTTGGCCGCTTAGCTCGAATGCCCTCAATAATCCCCTTTGTGAAAGCGATATGTTACCTACATATAAAGGATATATAATAGATTTAGTTGCGCGTTTATGTAGTATAGTATACGAAAATTAGCTTACGAAAATTTAGTTAGCTTTAAAGAAAAATCAAAAAAAATATTATGATAGACATATAAATCTAAAAGACTTCAGTTTAGGTGATTACGTTTTCTTAAAATCAGGGGAAATCAGGGGACCTAAACCAGGGGAATTCGGGGATCATTACTTAGGATCTTATAAAATAGTTGGAATTCTTCCAAAACATAATATTAAAATAGAAACTAATAAGGGCTGTAACGAGCGGGCTCGTTAAGAAGTAGATGAGTGATTTCAAAATAGCGCGCCATGCGCAAAAGACCCGCGCAGCGAGAGAGATAGAGATATATAGCGAGAACACGCGGGCAATGGGAGTACACGTGAGACCGGCAAGGAGAACGTACGCGAAAAAGAGCATTTGTTTTGATTTTGTGATATCCGAGCATGGAATCGATCCCGGACAGGAAAAATCGAGCAACCGTGAGGAGCGAGTGCTATGGGTGTGAAAAAGATACAACAACGACCAGGAAGTAAGGGCGGCCGATTGAAAGCTGTCGCACGAACCGAGGGGCCCGACACGTCGCCCATCACCCATAAAAACCGGCCGGCAGGGCACCCATCCTCGACGACTCTGGGCGACGACAGTCGAATAACCGGGCTCGAGAACCAAGGCGAAGCTATCTGCAGCAGTGTTCGCCCGCGTAAGTCTCCTCTTGTATTTTCGAGATTGCGAGCGAGAATTCCGGAAAGCGAGCACATGTGAACAACGCCGGCTGCGTGTCGTTTAAAATTGTATTTTCCGTCTCTCTCTCACGTGTACGTACGATTAGGTTGCGTGTCGTGAATCTCTCGGCCAACGTGAATAGTCGCGCCTATGTAGTTATAAGGAGTGAATAAACCTGGCAGGAATATATTAATAACCCGACGTATTTATTCGATAATCCTGAACATTCTCTACGTTCCCTTTTCCTTCGCATCGTGTGATGATGCGTCATCACACAAAAATATATATATATTACCGGCACTTGCGGCAGAACAGCCACGACTGCATACACCCGTCCACGCACCTCCGAATCTCGCGAACTATGGCCCCTAGAAGTTTCCCTGACCGATTCGCGCGACCCTTACGCTCGCGCACAACCCCTCGCGCACTCACGATCCGATCCGACACTCTCCCGGGGAGCTAGAAGCCCTTAAAGTTTCCAGCCGCGATCAGCTGATCGCAAGCCCCCGTTAACTAAGGCAGACCTAGTTAGACTAGAAGTAGGAGCGACCGAGCGCGTGAGAGCGAGCGAGACCGCCGATGCTAGACCGATCAGACGCGAGTGAGGGGAATCGGTAAGACCAGCGAACAGTGGATAGAAGAGGATAGACAAGCGACGCTATTTGACCGGCCAATCGTTATCGGCTTAGGGGTGGTCGGACTAATGAGTGAAAACCGACGCTATCTTCGCGACCAGTAGGCAAATTAGGCGCGAAGGACCGACCAATAAACAAATTGCGCGGGCAAAAAGTATTAATATAGACGGCGCTGAGACCCGGCT